ACGATTCGAGCGGCTCTCGGCGCCGCCACCCAAACCCTCGCAGCAAAAATGTTGAGCCGCATCCCCCCAAAGAAAACGACCTTGGGCATCGGCGAAGTCTCTGGGCAAGTCCTGGGCCGGATCGATCGACTCGTGCAGCTCGCTAACGGCCCAATCGAAGTTAACTCTACCGCTGGCCTCAGGAACCACCCACACGCCATGAGCAACGGGACCCCAAGCTACCCGAAGCGAACCAGCGACCACGGCGACGAAGGGCCCCCTTAATCTGCCCGGCGCAATCAGAGACCTTGACCTGCTTCAAAACTCGGCAGTGGTCGGCCAGGCTCGCCGCGCCCCCGCTAGACACGTCGGCCCCTCGGCCCGCGCACGAGGCCGCTCCTTCACACTGGCAACGGCGCACAGATACCTGGGCCATCTCTGGTGAGATCTGCAAGGAGGGAAACGGGGGGAGGGGGGGCCTGCCTACCGCGCTGCCACTATCCCTGGGTGTTGAGGGGGCCCTGGCCGTCTCTGCACGGGTTGCGGGCTCTCTTGCATTCTCGGATACAACAGCAGCTGGCGCGACAGCTTGGAAACGACACTCCGACTCGCGGGCACACGGATCGGGCTCATGCTCAAATCGTATACATCGTATATAAATATACGCATGCATGTATTAATAATGTATACTAATCTATCAAAATTCGGGGCATCCACAAGCAGGAGGCGCCTCACGGGGCTCTCGCGGGCTCGAGGAGACCCGGAGGAACCGCCAGAGCCCCCAGCAATCAAGATATCACCGACAAAGGGTTCACATGCTTCACGAAACTTGTTCTGGGACAGAGCACGCGCCTCCCGCTTCTCACGCTTCGCCTCCTGGGATTCACCGCTGGCCCGAAGCGCGGCGCAAGGGCGGGAAACCTGCGGGAGCTCGCGAGGCATCTGTAGAGCTCCAGTAATAGGCTGAGACCCCTCGCTGCGAAGAGACAAAGTGATCCCACAGCGAATCCCCCATGGAGCGCCCAACACTGCCCCCACTCCCTCGGCGCACGGACAAGCTGCCCGACCGGCTAGAACGAAGCCGACGCGTTGAGCACACGCGCCCGCGACGCACGCGCGCCCCCTCTCCGCGCGGGAGGCGACTCCGTGATCCAGCGCAGCTGGAGCGAGTGCACAAGTTCCTAGACGCACGAGCCTCTGGGCACTGTCTCCGAGAATGCCTCCGCACATGCCGCAGTAAACCACGATGACGACTGCGCAGCCTTTGAAGCGCGCTGCGACGGGCAAAAACCCTTCGAACGCTGCGCAAACCTGATGCGCAAACGGGGCCAAACTCGTCGGACCCACGCGCTTTTTCGCCGCCGAGTGGCCGCGAGCAAAATCAGCTTCGCCTGCTTCGTCCGACCGCGGGTTGGACGCATCAACTCTCGGCCTGGCCGCGCGAAAGAAAGACTTGAATTTACGATCACGCGCTTCCATGGTCCAACGCCTCCCCCTAGGAACAAGCACATGAGTTCCAGCGACAGCGAAGTACTCACACTTGGCAAGAACGGCCGCTGATGTCAGACACTTCCAAGAAAGTGGGCCAAGGCACGCGAAGGTGAGAGAGGGGAGCGGCCGATTGGTCCACGACCACGGCCTGCCCCATGCTGGACTCAGTCGACACGAAAGCCGAAGGGCCCGTCGACGACGCCTCGCCGACGCCGCGCCCACCGGCGGCGCCTGGCTGCCGCTGGCCTCGGGCAGGCCGCCAGGCGTGGCCCGCTGGCCGTCGCCCCACGCCCCCGCGCGGCCGCCCGCCGATGCTGCTGCCGCCTCGGAGCCCATCTGCTTGGCCCCGAACTTCGCCGCCAAGAGCTTGGCCGCCGCGGCCTCGAGCTCCTTCTGAATGGACGACCCGCCGTAGCGCCGCTGAACGCCTCGGCCTGCGCCGCGGGCTCGCCTGAGCTAGCTCCTCCTTTAGGAACGGAAATGTCCACGCCGTCCCCGCCACCAGAAGAAACTCCTTGCACAGCCTTCCTCTTCTTGGCCTGCCCCTCTGTGATGACCTTCAGCATATACTCACACTTGGTCTTCCATTGACAAACCTGGCTGCCGCGTTCCTCAAGCTTGTCGCGCGCCTGGTTGAGCTCCTTCTCTAAGGCGATGAGTTGCTCCTTCTCCGACGGTTCACATTCGTACTCGCCTAGCTTGGCCAAGAACTCCTCATCCCACTGAACGTTCCAGCCCTGCTGGCCTCCACCGCCTGCCTGAGCCTCCGCCTCTGGACTAACTGAGACTGCGCCCGTCTCGACGGCGAACGCCTTGGCAGAGAGGCGCCTCCCGACTTCAGCCGACGCGAGCTCCATGCCGAGCTCCCTTTCCTTAGCCTCCGCCTGCGAGAGCCCAGCCCTGAGGCGAATGACGTGGTTGATCGCCTGATCGTGGCGCATGCTCACATCTCCCCATATCCCCTCCGCCCGTTTGACCGCGTCGGTGGCGCTGATGCTAGTGATTGCCGCTGCGGGCCTATCGATCAACTCCAAGTGCTCGAAAAGGCTACTCCTCATGACTAGGTCGGATGTGTTGCCGATCATGCGGGGGAGGCAAGCACGAGTCTCAGAGGTGGCGGTACTGGCCTGCTGGCCGCTCCCGCTCCCGTTCTTGCCCTTGCCCTTCCCGGTCCCGCTGACGTCAACCGCGAGCTGGAGAGAGAGTTGGCAGCACCATCATTATCCTTGCCGCCTTTGCCTTTCTTCTTGGGCTTCGGGGCATACATTTTGATAGGTCGATACCAGTTACTGCACTTGTATCCACGAGACACCACTATGTCGTTCCATGCTGACGACTGACAAGCTTCGCATGTCGACCAGAACCTGGTGCCAGCAGCATGTGCCATCGGAAATGAACTGATCACCCCGTTTCGTTACGTGAATCGACTAAGAAATCATGTGTAGCTAGGAGGTCGCGTATCCCCCAAGCCGCCACGTGAAGGCGCGGGGATGTCTCAGGGCACGACAACATGAAGCGCCTGAGCCAGAACGGCTTGAGGGACGAGGAGGAAGAGGTGGAGGAAGGAGGAAAGTGGGGGAAAGGCGGCGGGGGACGAGACGAGGAGGAGGAGGAGGAGAAGGAGGAGGAAGAAGAAGAGGAAGAGGAGGAGAAGAAGACGGACGACGGCGACGGCGACGACGACGACGACGACGACGACGACGACGGCGGCGGCGACCACGACGACGACGACGACGACGACGACGACGACGACGACGACGACGACGACGGCGTTGCCGCCGCGGGCTCTCGCGCGCTCAGGCGGCAGCGCCAGGGTGCCCCAGCAGGGGACAGTCGCGAACCCCCCGGGAACCCCCCCGCGAAACACACGCGTGAGCCTCAGGGCCTCTGGGCATCTTGAATAAGAGAGGAAGCTGTGTCGAGTGCGAGCGTCGTTGTTTGCAGGGGGGCGTCTGCGACGCCCAGGCGGGAGCGCTGGTCCTGAGTAAAGAGCGAGGAAATGTCAAGCGGGCGCGCCAGTTTTGTTGGAAAGCCGGCTTCGCAGCGAGCAAGAGCGTCGATCGCGAGTAGAAGAAAAGCAACTATCGAGCGGGAGCGTTGTTGTTGTTGGGGGTGCCGTTTCGGCGCAACCCCGAAACGCCTGAGCGCGAGCCTAATCTTCAAAAGAAATGCAGCCGGCGCCGAGGCGAGAGCACCAGGGCGGATGTAGGGTGTCCCACAATAACAATCGTAAAACAATTCAGGTTCAACAGGGGCTCAGGGAAGCCTCAGGGCCTCTGGGCGTCTTGAAAAAAACGGAGGAATTGTCTAGCGGGAGCGTCGTTGTTTGCAGGGGGGGGCGCTTGCGGCGCCAAGGCGGGAGCGCCGGTCCTGAATAAAAAGCATGGAAATATAGAGCGGGAGCGCCGGAATTGTTGAAGGCCAATATCGGCGGCGAGCAAGAGCACCTGTCCCGAAAAATCGCGAGGGAGCGTTGCTGTTGTTGCTGTTGTTGTTGGAAGGCCGTTTCGACGCAACCCCGAACCGAAACACCTAAGCGTCTATTTTTCCAAAGAAATGCAGCGTTGTCGTCCTCCTTCTCCTCCTCCTCCTCCTCCTCCTCCTCCTCCTCCTCCTCATCATCATCATCATCATCATCATCATCATCATCATCATCATCATCAGCAGCAGCAGCAGCAGCAGCAGCATCCGCATCAGCATCAGCATCAGCATCAGCGTCATCATCATCATCATCATCATCATCATCATCATCATCAGCAGCATCAGCATCATAATCATCATCAGCAGCAGCAGCATAATCGTCTTCGGCATCATCACCATTATCACCATCACCATCATCAGCAGCAGCACAATCCTCATCATCAGCATCATCATCAACATAATCATAATCAGCATCATCATCATCATCATCATCATCATCATCATCATCATCATCATCATCATCATCATCATCATCACCATAAACATCATCATCATCTTCATCATCATAAGCATCATCAGCAGCGTCAGCATCATCATCAGCAGCAGCATCACCATTATCATCATCACCACCACCGCCACCACCACCCTCAATAGCATCATCAGAATCATCATCTGGAGCAGCAGGATCATCACCATTATCAGCAGCAGCAGCAACAGTATGATCATCATCAGCATCATCAGCAGCATCATCAGCAGCATATTATCAGCATCAGCATCATCAGCATCAGCATCATCTTGAGCATCAGTATCAGCATCATCATCACCATCATCATCACCATCATCCTAAGCATCATCCTCATCATCATCATCAGCAGCACCACCACCACCATCCTCATCATCATCAGCAGCAGCACCGCGACCACCACCACCATCATCATCGTCATCGTCATCGTCATCACCATCACCATCACCATCCACCGATCCCAGGCACGCCTCTGCGACCCCCGCGCGCCAGGCCGCCCCGCTGGCGCGGTGGCGGCAGTCGGGCGCGGGCAGGCGCGGGCACCCGCCGCTGCTGGTCATCTCGCAGCGGCGCTGCGCCCCCCCGCCGGGAGGCCCAGCGCCTTCGCGAAGGCGCTGGGCGCCCGCCCCGCCCACACCCGCAGGGGCGCTGGGAGCCCGCCTGCAGGAGCGCTGGGAGCCCGCCGCCGTTGGCCGCACACCCGCGGGGGGTGGGGGGCCTGAAATGGTAAGGCCCCGTGTCGCGCATGGCCAGCCCACCCAGTTACGGCCAGCCCGTATCATAAGGATGCCCGGTAAGGATGCAAGGGCCTTGAAGGCCCACGTTGACGTTTGTCGAACGAGGTTGGCCAGCGAAAGTCGGTAAGGATGGGCCGAAGGGGCAAGGATGCAAGGGTACCCTCGGGAAGGTTGCCCATCCTTAATATGCGGGCTGACTGCAGTCCCAGCTGGCCTCAACAGCCCCCTGAGCAGTGCGGGCTGGTCTCAACACTCTGGCGCCTCTGGCGGCGCTCCGCGCCCCAGGGTTGAGGTGTTGAGACCGCCCTGGCCAGCTCGGGGGGCCTGCCGAGGCCTGCTGGCACTGCTCGGGGCGCCTGCTGAGGCCAGCTGAGACAACCTGATGGGGGGGGTGCTTCTGAGGCCAGCTGGGACTGCCTGGGGCGGCTGTCTGTGCGCAGCCCGAAGCCTGACCAGGCTGAAGTAGGTGCCTCCTAGATGGCGTCCGAGTAGATGGGGTCGGAGGATCTCGCCGCATCACCTTCGCATCGACGATGCATCGCCGATGCATCGGCGATGCATCGGCCATGCATCGGCCATGCATCGGCGACCTCGGCGATGCATCGGTGACGTCGGCGTGGGGAAACACGGGCTCCGCATCGAGCCGCATCGTCGATGCACCGGCGATGCGGCGCGATCCTCCGACCCCGTCTGCTCGGACCCCATCTGGGAGGCTCAGACTGGGGCGGCCGTCCGTGCGCAGCCCGAAGCCTTAGACCCAGCTGCAGGCCCGTCGCGCGCGCACGCCGCGCCCTCCGGTCTTCGGCGGCGGCGGCGTGCGCGTGCGGCGGCGGCGGCGGCGCGGCGCGGAGCACGGCGGGCCGCACGCCGCACGCCCCGCGGGGGCGGCCCGCGCGCCCCGGGGGCGGCCTGCGCGCGCGCGCGCGCCAGTCGAGCCGGGAAGGAGCCGCGGGCCGCGAGCTCGCAGAGGCGGGGCTGAAGAGAGGCGGCGAGCAGGGGCACGACGGCGCTTTGCGTACGAGAACGGCTCCCATGCGCCGTGCCATGCCTGGACTTCGTTCGGGCCCCACTCCAACGTGGTACGGTGCACAGTGCTAGGGCTCCGAATGGCTGGTCAACTGTGCGCCGTACCATTCCTGGGTCGAAGATCGACAACGCCTCGCGAGACGCCAACCCGGTACGGTGCACACATGTCGTCCGCGGATCTCGTATGTCATGCTCGTCCTCCTCGCCCTCGTCACGCCCGTCTCGACGTGCAGGCGGTGTCATAGCGTCGGTCCCTTCCCAATTGCTCCGATCTTCCCGAGCCACTGCGGCGCGGCCAGGAGCATTCCCGCGGGGGGGGCGGTGCAGGACCTGCTTGCTTGTTGCAGGCCGCCGAAGACTTAGAAGATCACGAAAAACGCGTCAGCGAGGCTTCTCTTCGCCCCCGGACTCTCAGGAGAGCTCAGCATCGAATCGATGAGACCGACAGGCGATCGAAATGAATCGGATCTGCGGGAATCGGCAGCCAAGCCGAAGTCGAATCTGCGGAAAATCTGGCAGGCCAGAAAGGCCTCCGCTGAGAAACCGAGATCCACGTCGGAGTCCGAGGTCGAAGCGAATCGGCGAATCGGAAGTGGAACCGATCGATCTCCGCCGACCCTTTCGGCGCGTGGAAAAAGCACTTTCACTCGTCGCTGTTCTATTCGTCGTCTCCTCGTCGTCGTCGTCGCCGTTGCCATTCCACGCTTTCTCCTGGGTCTCCTTCTCCAACACGCCAGCCGTTACCTCTCGTACCCTGGGCCTTTCTCTTCAAGCGTGCCAGCCCCAAGACGACAATAACGAACGTCGCAACTCATGCGGAGGAAAGCCCCTTCCCCTCGAGCCGAGCCGAGTCGGGGGAGTCGACATTGAGCCCGACATCCACTGGAGCTGCGGGTGGCCGTCCTCCAAGGGCAGGGGCGCGGCGGCAGGGGCTCGGGTGAGGTCGGGCACGTCCTCCTACAGGCGGATCTTGAACGAAAAAAATTACCCCCGTGCGACCCTACCTAGAAGTTGGAGCCCCTAGGAAAGCAGCATTAGTTGCTATGCTATGGTCGGGCACGTCCTCCTACAGGCGGATCTTGAACGAAAAAATACCCCCGTGCGACCCTATCTAGAAGTTGGAGCCCCTAGGAAAGCAGCATTAGTTGCTATGCTATGCTATGCTATGCTATGCTATGCCATGATATGCTGCGTTATGATATGCTGTGTTATGCTATGTTGCGTTATGCTATGTTATGATATGATATGCTATGCTATGCCATGCTATGCTAAGCTATGATATGCCATGCTGCGCTGTGTTATGCTAAGCTATGATATGATGTGCTATGATATGTTAAGCTGCGCTATGTTATGATATGCTATGCTATGTGATGGCATGTTATGCTATGCTATGCTATGCTATGCTGCGCTATGCTATGTTATGATGTGATATGCTATGCTATGCTATGCTATGTTTGGCTATGTTAGGCTATGATATGCTATGCTAATGCAGCGCTGCGCTGTGCTAAGCTAAGCTAAGCTAAGCCAACCCTCTAGGCAGAGCCTAGGTAGGGAATTACACCCATGGCAGAAGCTAAGATGAAATAAGCTAAGCTAAGATGAGATAAGCAACGCTAAGCTAAGGGGACGTAACTGGGGGAACCGCGGGGCGGATCCTGGGGGAACCGCCAAGGGCGATTTGCACTGCCCGGCCCTTTAAGCACAGAGAGTAAGAACCCTTCTAGGCAGAGCCTAGGTAGGGAATGATACAATGCCAAACAAATATCAAAACAAAATCAAAAATAGTTTTAAGTCGGGCCTGTCCCCCTACAGGGGGATTGTCAACGATAAGTAAAAAATGCCCAAAAAATAATCAACAAATAATCCAAACATAGTCTGGGGACTATGTTTTGAATATTTTGTCTTGACCTTTTGGGGGCATTTGGGGTACTTTTTATCTTTCATCGACAACCCCCCCATGTAGGGGGACACGCCCGACAGAAAGACAGCCGAACAGATCCTCCTGTAGAGGGACAGGCCCGACCTCATCCGAGGGCGGGGGGCCCGGCGGCAGGGGCCCGGGCGGCGGGGCGCGGCTCCGGGAGACCTCCACGGGCCCCTGCGCTCGGGCGTGCCAGCGTGGGCGACACGCAGCACGCGGCCAGGCGGGCGCCGGCAAGGGGCGCTCGGAGAGGCAGCTCCTCGGGGCTGGACCCAAACGCTGCGCTTCGTCCTGTTTATCGATCTGTGCTTCGTCTTGCTCCCCCTGATTTGCCGCACCTCCCTCCCAGAACGAAAGACGAAGCTCAGCCGAAGTCCAGCGAAACAGAGTTTAGGTCCAGTCCTGCAGCTCATGGGAGCCTCCCATTCGGCTCTTGCGAAGCGACGCTAGTCGACGCTAAGCCGACACGAATCGACGCTGAGTCGACGCCAACCCGACACTGCGTGATGACGCTAGCCGACGCCAAATCGGCACATCTCATCGACTCCCAAACGAAAGTCGACGCTAATTGACGCTGAAGGCGGAATTCAGAGGGTATACCAGGCTCCCATGATTTGCTACCGAAGGAACGGGTCTCACGCGAGACAGCATGGGGGCCTCACGCGGTGGCTTACACGCCAGCGACGGGGAAGACGACCCCGAATTCTTCCGTCGCTCGAGCGAGTCTCCCGAGAGCGCGGCACCTGTATGAGGCACATGGGCCTGCGATCACAGTTGGGCGGGAGCACGGTTTATATGCAGAGCGTAACAATCTCCCAAGATGGCACCGCCAAGGTCACGCTCGCGCCAAAGCGCGTCGCGGTGGAAGCGACGGAGCCAGCGAGGACGAGCGATTGGGGGAAGGCAAAGGCAGAGCACTGAAGAGATGGAGCATCCCAGACTCACCCCCTTGCCACACCTCGAGGAGACCGACGGGGGAGCAGCACAGGGTCTGAGGGGCAACGATAGGGGGAGGGCCAGCTCAGGGGAGGCGAAACATCGATAGGCCCCCGATAGCGAAACCGGCCCTTATTTGCGATGAGAACGCGACTTGGGGTCGATGCATTCCTTTGGAAAGCAACTCACTGAAGCTTCTAGTCGTCCCCATGACGCCCAATAGCGCGTCCAGTAGCACGCAAATCGGACGCAACACATCTCCCTCGCATGACGGGATTGGGCGCCATTTGGGAGCGATTCGGCGCTGTTGGGCGCTATTCGGCACAATTAGGCGCGCTGCGCGCGCTGTTGGTCACAACATTCGCCGTCCGGCCACTCTCCCCTGAGCCTGTTTCCCCCCCTGACGTTGCCCCCGAGGGGCGGCGCCGGTGCCCGCACTCAGCTCTTCCGGCGCGACGGAGAGGAGCCTCAGCGCTTCTTCGTGGCCCCGCGCCCGCGGCCACGCCCGCGGCCCCTTCCACGGCCGGCCGTGTCCTTGCCGGCCTTCGGCAGCCTCTTCGAGTCGTCTACCAGCAGGGTGTCCAGCGGGATGCTGTCCGGCAGGATGACATACCTAATGTTGTTGCCTCGGATTGTCAGGTGGTCCATGGAGACAGGCGGCTTGCCCTTCACGGTGAACTTGATGTTCTTCATGTGGGTATTCATCGACATGTCGACTCCAGTCACGGTCCCCTGCACGATGGTGCTGTTCTTGAGCTCGACCACCACGCTCTCGTTGCTGAGCTTCATCAGGAACCTCACGAGCCGCATCGCTGACTGCTGTGACGTCTGCCCTAGGGGGGGGGGGGGAAACGGCCGGCCACTGCAAAAGCAAGGTCCCCTGGAGCCGAAATGGTCACAGAAGGAGGATGAGGGGGAGGGGGCTCAAGTGTGACAAAACATCTCATGTGTGAGGCAAAAGTTCAAGTGCGATACAAAAGAACATCAAGTTGTTTATCACACTTGAGTTTGATTATCACACTTGACTGTTTTTTGTTCACACTTGAGCCGAGAGGCATCGGAGGCTGCCAGAGGTGCTCCTAGCCCAAGGTGACCCCAGCTGTTCTCGCCCTTCTCGAGCCCCTCAGAGCCTCTGGGCCTCGTGAGGAGCACCCTGGGGACAGTCCAGGCCTCCCTGGGAGCACGAGGGAGGAGGAGCTGCACTGCGCGAGGGAGGGCGGCACCCGCAGAAGGCCTTATGGCTTGAAGACTGGGAGCGCTGCCTCCGAGACGCGTCGGTGCGCTCGGCCTTCGTGCACGGCGCCAGCGCAGTGCCGTCGGCGGACGGAAGTGGTCGGCCGTGTGGCTCTCTCGAGGCGCGCCGTGCGGCAGCGGCGCCCCCCGCCAAGGCCCCTCGGGCACGAGAGGCCTCGCGCTCTCGCGAGCCTGACGCCACCAGGGCCCCACGAAGCACCTGTCCACGTCCTGCTCGCCCTCCCCCTTCCTCCCTCTCCGCACCCCCTCCTTCTCCGCTTCAGCGGATCGACCACGCCCGCCCCATCACCCTCCTCCTCCACCGCTCTGATGTCTAGTCACTCTTTGGACGATTGTGGAAAAGCGATGTCGGGCGTGTTTTGGATCGGCCTCTGCGGCCACGTTGAACGAGTGGCTTGTCTCTCCTTCTTCTATCCCAACCCACTCCAGTGATAAGTGTTCTTTTCTTCCTCATGGGGACGGCTTCACATCGCGGGAGGGTGGGCACACGAGACGCACATTATATAACGTTTAGTTATGTCAAAGCCAAGGTCCTATGCTCATGCGTCCATGCATGAGCTGTCGAAACAATGGTCTCAACAGCTGTCTCCCCTACCGAGTTGCTTATTTGTCCAGTTTCGAGCAGGATATCTGGCCGAAGCAACCCAGCGGAGCTGAGCAGTCGCTCCGGGGCCCGCAGCTGAGATTCCCCTGACTGCTACGCGGAGTAACCTGTTCAAGCCAAGGTTCCTCCTCCTGGTCCTCCTGCCCCTCCTCTCGTCCTCATCCTCATCGTCCTCCTTTGCTCAGCGCTTCCCACCATAGGGTCGAAGACTCGCAGTCCGATCGGCGAAGGAGCAAGAGAGAAGCGGAACGGCGCGAACCGGATCGGCCGAAAACCCATCCGCCATTGAACTCGAACCTACGCTGCCTTCTCATAGCAAACTAAAGAGAAGGCGATGCAGAGAGGTCTTTACGCAGGGCCCCTTAAAGCCCCCCAGGGACCCCCCGGGACCTGAGAAAAGCACCCCAGGGACCCCAGAGCCTCCCCAGCAACCCTCGACATTCAAAAAGTTTGCACATCTTGTGGCCGAGACCTTCAGAAACCCTCGGCGAAATGGCAGAGCCTTGACTTCCAGATGCGCGAACGAAACGGATGTGATGGGACGTTTGATCTGCTGAGCGACGGGAATCGACGAGGCCAACCACAGGATCAGTCTACAGCCTCTCTTACGAGGCATACACTTGCACACAATCCGTCCCCAATCATTGCTTCCGCGATCGATGTCAATGTGGAGGTGTAAATATTTTGGGGCAATATCCGGGCGATTTTGGTGGACGGTCGGGTTCTTGGATTCCTGCTTCCGGGTCCTGGGCTTCAGGGTTCCAAGTATTGGAAGGACCTGCCGATAGTGTGTGGGATTTCGGCGGGCGGCCTGGTTGCTGGCTTCGTTCCAGATCTTAGTGAGAAATCCCGACGATTCCAATGGACGGCTGGGTTCCTGGGCCTGCAGAGTAGAGAGCAGAGAGAGAGTAGAGAGAGAGAGAGAGAGCGAGAAAAAGAAAGAAAGAAAGAAAGAAAGAGATAGAGAGAGCGGAAGAGCCCGCCGACACCTGGTCGTCAGGGGTGACAAGGCGCGTGAGATGTTTGGCTGTCCCCACCCACCCTATTCTCCCTCCCCCCCTCGCCAGGAGTCCAAAATCCCGTAAAGCAGGCAGGGGGCAAAGAAGCCCCCAAGAGGCCCCACAGAGGCCAAACAGAGCCCCCCCAAGGCCCCACAGAGGACCCAAGAGGCCCTCAAGAGGCCCCAGAGAGACCCTCGGGAAGCCCCCTGAAGCCCCCAGGAAGCCGCAAGACTCCCCCTCGGAGGCCTCATCTCTTCCTCCTCCTCCTCCTCCTCCTCCTCCTGCTCCTCCTCCTCGTCCCCCTCCTCCTCCTCCTCCTCCTCATCCTCATCATCATCATCATCCTCCACCTCCTCCTCCTCCTCCTCCTCCTCACCACCACCACCACCACCACCACCACCACCACCACCACCACCATCATCATCATCATCATCATCATCATCATCATCATCATCATCATCATCACCATCATCATCATCAATAATCATCAGCATCATCATCATCATCATCATCATCATCATCATCATCATCATCATCATCATCATCATCATCATCATCATCATCATCATCATCATCCTCATCATCATCATCATCATCATCATCATCATCATCATCATATCATCATCATCATCATCATTATCGTCATCGTCATCGTCATCATCATCATCACCATCATCATCAGCATCATCATCACAATCCATCATCAGCAGCGGCATCATCATCATCCTCATCATCATCATCAGCATCATCATCATCATCATCATCAGCATCATCGTCATCATCAGCATCATCAGTATCATCATCAGCATCATCATCATCAGCAGCAGCATCAGCATCAGCAGCATCATCATCGTCATCATCAGCAGCAGCATCACCATCATCATCATCAGCAGCAGTATCAGCATCATCATCAGCATCAGCATCATCATCTTCCTTATCAGCATCATCATCATCGTCAGCAGCATCATCGTCAGCATCATCATCATCATCAGTATCATGAGCATCATCACCAGCATCATCAGCAGCATCCTTATCATCAGCGTCATCATCATCAGCAGCAGCACCATCATCATCAGCATCATCCTTATCATGATGATTATCATCATCATCATCATCATCAGCATCATCATCAGCATCACCATCGTCATCATCATCGTCAGCGTCAGCGTCAGCATCATCATAATCAGTATCACCAGCGTCAGCATCAGCATCATCGTCAGCAGCATCACCAGCATCATCATCATCATCATCATCATCATCATCATCATCGGCAGCATCACCATCATCATCGTCATCATCATCGTCATTGTCATCATTATCATCTTGTTATTAGTACTCATCATCCTCATCCCTATCATCCTCATCAGCATCCTCATCATAATCCTCATTACCATCCTCATCCTCATCCTCATCCACATCCACATCCTCCCCATCATCCTCATTCGGCCAAGGACAATGGTGTTAGTGTCGCGAGGACCAGGCTGAGCCACTAATTTCTGTTCATGCGTGCGCGCATCTCGGTGACGAAGTCTTCCCCAAAGTGTTTCCCCAAGTGTTCCGCAACGGCGGGAGGAAGACTTAGTCCAATAGATTGGCCAGATTTTGGTCCAACGTTCGGCCAACATAGGCGCTTCCAAAAGGCAGGAAGCGGCGGTGGCTCGCCGTAGGCGTTTTCGATGGAGTGGAGTTGGTACAAATTGGTTGGGCCTCGCCCCACATGGTTAGGATTCGGACTATTTGGTTGGAGTCCGTCCCGTTTCCAGTTGAACATCCCCCCTCTTTCGGCGCAAAGGGAAGGGGTGGTCCAAACTCCCCCCCTCCCCATTTGGAATGCAGTGCGGGGGGAAGCAGACCCTTTGAAGGTGCGGAAGGGGGGACTCCATTCACTAGCCCCCCTCTTTGATCAGCGCGCCTGCCACTGGCGCTCGCTCCCCCACTGCCTCCGACACGCGGCAGCACCTGTCCTCTGTGAAGGCGCTGTCAAAGCACAGCGCGCGCCAGGCCCTGTCCGCAAAGTTCGGGTCGCAGCAATAGAGGCAGGACAGCTGGGGCTGTTCGCTCCACCTCGGGGGCTGCCATAGGTGCCCCTGGCCCAAGGTGCCCCAAGCTTTCCGCTCCATTTTGGAGCCCCTGGGGCCCTCTGGGCCTCGTGAGGGGTGCTCTGGAGGCCGCGGGGGCCTGCCTGGGCAAGGGGCAATTCTAGCAACACCCGACACCTGGAGGGGAAGAGAACGGGGACCATGACCGAGACTGAACGCGGAAACGTCGTGTCGATCTTGGTCGCATTCGATATTGCTCGTGGATCATCCTCGCGAATCGGCGACGGCCGACATGGACCGTGACCAGGATCGGCATCGACTAAACCCCGCAACATCTTGGTAATGGACCCCGTGTTTCTTCCCTATCGGAGTTCCGCGCGGAGTTCTGGGATCTGCGGCAGGCCTCCCTCCCTTGCGTGCGGAGCGCGCCAGGGGCGGCAGTGGAGGCATCGCCAGGGGGGTTCAGCGCAGATCCACGGAATCCGCGCGGAGCACCGAAAGTTTATGGTTATGCCGTTTTGTCTTTCGAATGACCAAGAACGGCACAGACAAGAGCCCAGACATCTTGAGCAGGGTCCACGTGTATCTTCACTCTTGGTGGCGTGCACAAGGGGGTGGAGGGAGGGGGGAAGGCTTCGTAGAAGGAGGCTGTTTCTTAAAAAGCGCCAGCCTCACATCTATAGATAAGGCCCTTGCCTTCTCAGGGGTGTTTCTAAGAAGCCCTCCCCCTCCCCCCACCCCCCTCAGCGCATGGCTGACCCTCGCTGCGGGCCCCAAGAATATACACCACCACCTCCATCCCTCCTTCCTCCTCGACCCTCTCTTTCCCCTCCTCACTTCCAGGGGGAGGGAGGGAGGGGGTGACGGACACAGTGGTGGTGCATACATGAAAAAAGCCTCTCCCTGGTAAAATGGCCCATTCCCCGGAAAACTGGTCCACTCCCCGGTAGTAGGTTCAGAAAATCCTGAAGCATTCGAAGCTTTACATCCTTTTTCTCCAGCGCTCCTGAGCAGCTTGTAAGGCGCTCCTTAGCAGCTTTTGAGGCGATCGCTGGCAGCTGTTAAGGCGCGCCGTAGCAGATTCTACGGCGTTCCTTAGCAGCTGTCGAGGCTCTGCTTAGCAGCTTGTAAGGTGGTCCTCAGCAGTTTCTAAGGGTCGCCTGAGCAGCTTGCAAGGCGCGCCTTAGAAGATGTTCGACCGTTCCTTAGGAGTTTTTAAGGCGCCCCTTAGCAGACGTTGAGGCGCGCCGTAGCAGCTTTCGAGGCGCCCCTTAGCGGCTGTTTTACGGCGCTCCTTAGCAGCTTCTGAGGCGTTCCTTAGCAACTGTTACGACGCTCCTTAGCAGTTTGTACGGCGCTCCTTAGCAGCTTTTACGGCGCTCCGTTCTAGCTTTTGATGTGAGGCGTTCCATGGCAGTTCTTGTCGCGTTCTTTCGCAGTTTTCGTAGCGCTTCTTAACAGTTTGTACTGCGCCCCTTAGCAGCTTTGGAGGCGTTCCTTAGCAGTTGTTAAAGCGTTCCTTCGCATTTTTTACGGCGCTCCTTATGAGGATGTTGATGACGACGATCATGATGTTGAGGTTCCGTACAGTTAGCTTTTTTCGAATGCCGATGACGGCGACGACGATGGTGATTGCGATTGTGGTGATGACGATGGCGATCATGATGACAATGAAATTGATCATGATGGTGATGATGGTCATCATCGTGACGATGATGATGGTGGTGATGATGACCACACTGGTGATGATGATGGACATGATGAAAAGTATTGTGATCAGTTTGATGATGAAGAATGATGTTGGTGATGATGAATGATGATGGTGACATGATGATATTGATGAGGATGGGGAATGATGGTGGTGAGGGATGATGACGACGATGTTCATGATGGTGATGGCCATGATGATGGGGGTAATGATGATGATGCTGGTGATGATGATGGTAATGATGGGGTTTGCTTGGACGTTTTTGGGCCCTGTTGGCCGCCTGGCCTGTCCTGGGCCATCTGGGGGCACTCTTGAGCCGTCCTGGGCAATGTTGGAGGCCTCTCAGTTTGTGTTGGTCGCAGCTCCACTCGTCGTCATCATTCGCTGCGGACCTAACGCAAGAAGGAGGAGGACGCGGAGGAGCCTGGGATGAGGAGGATCGATGAGGAGTGAGGAAAGGACGAAAGGGGGATGGTGATAATGATGATGAGGACGAGGAGGAGGAGGAGGATGGTGAAGAGGAGAAGGATGTTGGTACTGATGGTGATGGCGATGGTGGTACTGATGGTGACGGTGATGATGATGCTGATGACGAGGGGGAGGAGGAAGAGAAGGAGAAGGAAAAGGAGGAAGGCGAGAACGGCTGCAACATATGACATCTGTTTGCCGCTAGTTCTTGGAAAGCTCTCGTGGCCATGGCTGACGGCGGTCTCAGGGGCGTGGGTGGGGAAGGTAGAGGGGGGAAGGAGGACAAGGAAGAGGAGGAGAAGAAGGGTGGAGGATCTTGTGAGGGCCACAACTATCAAATGGCCTTCGGCCCACTCCGGCACCGTGCCGTAGCTGTGGGTGCTGAGGCCTCTTGGGTGGATACCAGGATCTGTCGGGATGCCCCTCGGGTGCCTCTTGCAAGGACTCTTCGGGGCCTCTTCGGCCTTCCCCGGGCCCTCTCGGGTCCTCAAAGGGCCTCCTGGGGGCGCCTGCTCGACTCGTTTACGTGTCAAATACGCTTGCGTTTCACATACGTTTATAAACCGAGTTACGTTTAACATACGTGTCGCGTACACGTGTCATGCTCTTCATACCGTAGTGATGTTTCTACTTCCTCGGTTACTACGGCTACGAGTGCTACGACTACTGCTACTACTACGACTGATACACCTACTACTACTACTACTACTACTACTACTACTACTACTACTACTACTACTACTACTACTACTACTACTGCTACTGTTACTACTACTACTACTACTACTACTACTACTACTACTACTACTACTACTTACTACTACTACTACTACTACTACTACTACTACTACTACTGCTACTACTACTACGACTACTACTACTACTACTACTACTACTACTACTACTACTACTACTACTACTACTACTACTACTACTACTAACACCACTACTACTACTACTACTACTACTACTACTACTACTACTACTACTACTACTACTACTACTACTACTACTACTGCTACGACTACGAATAAGAGGAATAATAGTTAACCTGCGACGTACCCAACCCATTTGTACCAATGGAAACGAGGAGTTGGCCGAACCTTGCATGGACAATCAACTTGATGTGTAAGCTAGTTGGGACACGCGCCTATGGCATGATGCACAGGAGAACCATACAAGAACGAGGGGCGACAGCTACAGGCTCGAAGAGGACATGGGGAGTCGGGAACGCAGAGCAAGAGAAAAACGTGCGGGAAGCCGAACCATCAGCACGGCAGCAGCAGCGGGAAGGTGACTGCAGGAGGAGAACAAGAACGAAAGCGGCGTCTAATTTGAATCCACCGTGAGTACCCAGTGTGCTGGGCCCCCCAAGCAGGCCTCGAAAGTGGC